CTCCGTATGCTTATCTAATTCCCTCTTGAAGCTGCCCATGCTTGTAACCGCCACCATCTTCTGTGGCAGTGAATTCCATGTGTTAATCACTCTTTGGGTGAAGAAGTACTTCCTTTTATCTGCTCAGCAATTTCATTGAGTGCCCACGAGTTCTTGTATTGTGAGAAAGGAAGAAAAGTACTTCTTTCCCAACCTACTCTATCCCATGCATAATTATAAACTCCGATCATGTCACCCCTCGGCCATAGTTTCTCCAAGCTAAAGAGCCCCAAGCGTTTTAACCTTTCTTCATAGGGAAAGTGTTCCAACCCTTTGATCATTCTAGTTGCCCTTTTCTGCACTTTTTCCCATGCTATAATATCCTTTTTGAGGTGTGGTGACCAGAACTGTAGACAGTACTCCAAATGAGGTCGCACCATTGATTTATACAGGGGCATTATGATACTGGCTGATTTGTTTTCAATTTTCTTCCTAATAATCCCCAGCATAGCATTGGCCCTTTTTATTGCAGTTGCACACTGTCTCGATGTTTTCATTGAGTTATCTACTATGACTCCAAGATCTCTCTCTTGGTCAGTCTGTGCCAGTTTGGACCCCATCAATGTGTATTTATAGTTAGGATTTTTGGCTCCAATGTGCATCACCTTGCACTTGGCCACATTGAACCCCATTTACCATGTTGACGCCCACTCACCCATCCTCGACAGATCCCTTTGGAGTGCCTCACAATCCTCCCTGGTTCTCACCACCCAAAACAACTTCGTGTCATCCACAAATTCTCATGTTTATATGCTGCCTAAATGTTTGTGAGAAGCGGAGGAAAATGTATAAATTTCCCACCCTAGGCATTTCTCCCCTGCTGTAATCAAGCGGATTACAATTTGCTTTGTACCTTTGCATCCTGATTATCTTCTTCACAACATCCCTCCCACCTTCTGACAGAAATATAAGGACTCAGGGCTCCAGTCATATTTATCTGATAAAGCAAGCTTTGACTCTCAAAAGCTTATACCCTGTAAATATCGTTCATCTTTAAGGTGCTACTGCACTCGGATCTTGCACTTAAATAAGCTTTATCTTTTTAAAAAATCTATTAAAGTTAGTTTATATTTTGAACCGGTTAACATTCTCAGCAATTACCTGTGATGAAATATTGCTATGATTATTAACTAACTGCTTTTTTCTATGCCAGAATTGGTCTACTTGCATTTAGTTAAGTTTGAGCATATACTTATTACATGCAGGTCTCACTGATGATACCACTGAAGAGATCTCTGGAATTCAACATTTGACAAGTGATTCAGACAGTGAGGTTTTCTGTGATTCTATGGAGCAATTTGGGCAAGAAGAGGTAAAAATCTTTCGTAGATGCCTGCACTGCATCAGGGGAAAAGACATATAATTTCTTATTACAGGCCATATATTGGGTTTCCCAGTTTGAGAGGCAGTGTTGGATATCTCCCCCCCCCCATTGAAAATCTATTTGGATGTAATAGGCATTTTTGTTGAATTATAGCTCACGGAAATCAGTACATCAAACAATGAATCTTCAAGGCATCATTTCCATTTCTCAGAAGTTGATTATGGTAGTCTCCTAGAAACGGCTGATTTGCTTGAACCTGGAAACTACAATTCAGAAGGTATAAAAGAGGCTACAGTTGAAGGAAAAGGTGAAGTCAAGTGTGGAGGCGAAGATGGCAAAGCAAGTGATGGAGGTCCTCACAAAGAGAAGAAAGGTGGCGAAAAGGTTGATTTCTATGGAATCAGAAGAGGGAGAGGTACTGTAAGAATATCTCTCTGTGTCGTCATCCTTGTGTTTTGTGGCATGAATAGGATCTATGAATCTACGTGTCTTCATAATGTGGTTAAAAATTATCATTTATTTTTAAAGGTGTTATCTTTTCTCGCCTTAAACCAGGGCACAGAATGCACCCTGTGGGTGACGGCAGCCAGCGTGGGCAGATGGGCAGTGGAGGAGATGGAGAACGATGGGGTTCAGACAGAGGGCCAAGGAGCAGCCTCAATGAACAGATTGCAATAGTGCTAATACGATTACAAGAAGACATGCAAAACGTCTTTCAGAGACTAAGTACACTGGAGACACTGACAGCTTCACAGGTAAAATGTACTCTAATACCAAGTTCATCTTTTCTTTTTCCTAGCTAGAATGGAAAAGGTTCCCTACAGATTTTAGGAGGGCGTTTTCAAACTGATACAGGCTGTTTTTGAAATGTAAATACATTGCTCTAATTCCAAGCTGACTTGCATACCCAAGGAGGCACTTCATAGCATTACATGTGTTTAGAAAGAGAAAGAACCTCCTAGCCCGCCTACGCACATGCACACTCAAGCAAGCAAGCATAGAATTGCAGACTGAGTGTAGGAAAAGAAGTGGCATGAAAATTTTACAAGCCTCTGTTTTGTTCCAAGGATGGGTCTAGGGAAAGTTAATAATGTTTAGGAACCAAAATATAGAGGATAATTTCTGGGAAACAGTATTAACCTCTTGTCAGAAGTGATGCAAGGAGAAAAAGCGAATGAGGACACAGTAGATGGGCAAAAGAGTTCATAAATGGTTATGCATCGTGTCTTAAAAGAGTGAGCTTCCCAGAATATAACGCATACAAAAATTACACATGATGTATTAAATCCCATTTGTAATTGCAGGCAAGAACAGCAACTCTGCATTCAAACAATCAGTCTGCTTCATCTGTTAAGGTAGGATTTTTTTCTACTTTTATGTCAACTATGGATTATGGGGTGGACGTTTAGTGATGTCTTTTCTTGTACTGTTAAAGGATAGAATGGAGGTTTTCATGACACAATATCTTAAAAAATGAATTTATAAGGCAGCATTTCTCCGGGTTGGATAGTGTCCACCTAAGAGTGCTTAAAGAACTAGCTGGAGAGTTGACAGAGCCATTATCCATTATCTTCAAGGCCTTTTGTAGGATGAGTAATGTGCCAGATGATTCGAAGAGCAAGCAGTAGGCCTGCCAGTTAAACCTCTGTCCCGGGTAAAATCTTGGAGCAGATTTTAAAAGGGCTGTTTTGCAAACTTCTAGAGGATAACTTGGTGACAGGTAGTCAGCATGGATTTGTCCCTAATAGATTTGTCAGACTAATCTCATTTCCTTTTTTGATTGGGTGACAAGCTTGGTGGATTGTGGGGATGCCAAGGATATTGTATACTTAGATTTTAGTAAAGCATTTTATAAAGTTCACCATGATGTTTTGATTGACAAGTTGGAGGGCTATGGATTAAATTTTAGGATGGTTAGGTAGACACCCAAAGAGTGGTAGTTCATGGCTCCTTGTCTGATTGGAGGGTAGTATCTAGTGGGGTGCGACAGGCTTGGTTTTGGTCCCAGTGCTTTTTAATATTTTTGTCAATGACCTAGATGATGGAAGGAAGGGATTACTCATTAAATTTGCAGATGACTCCAAATTGGTGGTGGTGGGAAGCAAACATCCATAAGATAAAAATAAAATACAATCAGGCTTAGATAAATTGGAAGAAAGGGCAGGTGAACAAGTTGCGATTTTAACATAGATAAACGTAAGGTCTTGCATCTGGATAGTAAAAATGTTAGGCACATGTCCCAGATGGGGGATACTGTTCTGGATAGTAGCATGTGTGAACAGGATCTTGGGGTTTTGGCAGACTGCAAACTGAGTATGAGTAGCCAGGGAGGCACAGCAGCAAAGGAGACAAATTCAATCATAGGGTGTATGAACAGATGCATAGTGTCCAGGACACGAGATGTTTTGGTATCACTGTATACTGCACTCATCAGACCCCATTTGGAGTATTGTGCCCAGTTTTGGAGGCCTTTTTATAAGAAGGACATAGAAACTGAGGGTGCAGAGGAGAGCAATAATTAGGAGTTTGGTGACTAAGCCTTATGAAGAAAGATTGTGGGACTTGAGAATGTTCAGTCTGGAGAAGAGAAGGTTGAGGAGGAATATGATTGTTCTTTTTAAGTATTTGAAGGGCTGTCATTTAGAGGAAGGTAGGGCACTATTTCAGTTGTTAGTGGAGGATAGGACTATTGATGATGGGTTGAAATTATGGGTGAGGAAATATCAGCGGGCTATTAGGAGAAACTTTTTTTAGCAATAAGGGCAGTTCAGTGGTGGAAATCTGTTGCACAGGGATGTTGCGAGTTCTCCCTCCTTGGAGGTATTTAAGTGGAGATTGGACACATGTTGTCAGGGATACTTTAGGTCCTCCTGCATAGTGCAGGCAGTTGGACTAGATAGTCTATCTTTCTATAGTCCTAATTTTAAGTGGCATGTAAACTGCCTTCTCTTGCCAAGAGGAACCTTGCACTTTAGTATTAGATATAGCAATTAGGAGGAAGAGAGTGTGGGCAGTTCCTGCTAATGACAAGAGCCAGCCACAGACAAAGGAGATACATGGAGGAGACGACCTGGAGCTGCATACAGATTTGGCCAGCAAAGGGCAAATTTTCACTAAGCTCCCACTGTAGCCTGTTGAGGTCCCTGACAGTGTTCCCTCTAAGCTGAGTTAGTGTGAGCTAGCTCACAGTTTCTTAGCCTCCGGCTCACACATTTTTGTCTTAGCTCAGGAAGGATGGCTCCAGAGCAAACTAATGTATGCAGTAGCCAAATCACTTGCTCACAAAGTAGAATTTTTGCTCACAAGATTCCACAGCTTAGAGGGAACATTAATGGGACTGCTAGGGGACAGGGGATCCTCAGGAGCAATCTGGGAAATTTGCAGGAGGTGGCAAAAAACCCCTTTCTCCTGTTGGATTCAACCCTTTGTAAATCCATCAAAATAATAAGTACCTCAGAATGGCCCAACAACTGAGCCAGAACAAAAACAGAATGCTGAGAGTCAAGTTAAGAGGAAAAAGCAGGTTCACGAGCAAGCCAATATCCTCATTAGTTCTGAGTGTTTGTGGTGGCGATCTCCCTGCAATCCCTTCTAACATTGATGTTGATGGTTGAGTGCATATTCAGTAGAGCAGTGAAACAGGTCTTCCCGCTATTAGGTAATGATTTATGCATCTCAAGGGACTCCAGGTTTTTTTAAAATTACAAATAAAAAAATAATTTCCCAAACTTAGCCGCATGAGAACTGAGCATTTCTTTTCCTTTTTGTTAAGAAATAACATTGTTAAGGAGGTCAGAGATCAGTGTGGCAGAGTTTTGTTTGGTCCACTTGGACTTTTAGTAACATCTGAACTATCTACTTTTACAAATCTGTAAGTATAGGTACCTGTGCAGTCATTGACATATCATGTAAACAGAAACATTCATGCTAGCTTTGTTTTGTGTTGCTTAGAGACCATCATGGTGGCCCTTTGAGATTTCTCCTGGTACTTTAGCCTTTGCTATTTTATGGCCCTTTATTGCCCAGTGGCTGGTCCACATATATCTTCAAAGAAGGAGAAGGTAAGACAGATGCACCCATGGAAGTACCCCTATGCTTGTTTATGTGTGAAACAGTCAGGCATTCTAGGACATTAGTCATAGGAATGGAAACAAAGATAGATGTTAACAGCAAGAACATACTAGTGCTTCTGATTTAAAGTGCCTGCAGAACTATAGGTGATGTCAATATTTCACACTCTAAGAGAACTTAGCAAAAGAAACACTGGCAGCAGAAAGACACCTGAACACCTTTTTTTGGTCAAAAAGAAAGGCTGTTCTAATAGCTCTCAGGATCCTACCATAACTGTAAAAAGTATACTTCCTCCATTCGTAATTTTATCTGAAGAGAAAACATCGAAGACCTTAGTTTGAAGGCAGCTGAGAACAAAACAAGAAGTCTAATAGCTGCCTGAATAGCAGCTCTTTTTGAAGAAGGCAAAGTGCCCTTATTTATACCTGCTCAATTTAGGCATGTCTGTAACAATCCAAAGATACCCCCAAAGAAAGATTCCTTGCTTAGAGGAAAGCCCCACCATTACTGGAATAGAAACTTTTGATTCAACATTAAGACCTGCAAAGCAACCTCTTTACCAAAAGAAAAGCTAATAAATTACATTGTTAGGAATAGAAACTTTTGATTCAACATTAAGAAGACCTGCAAAGCAACCTCTTTACCAAATGAAAAGCTAATAAATTACATTGTTGAGGTATAGTATCTACCTAACTTTAAACTATTCTGTGTCCACATGTCATTAAAAACCTTACAGCTGAGAGAAAAACAAAAATATTGTGAAATGACCAATTTTCTGTGCTGTTCTAAGTACAAATGACAGTGATGGGTATGTGATACATGGCTATTTTTCCCCTTACCCAGAAAAGAGATCTGACGGTTCAGTTCCTGATTTTGATTAAGGACTGCTTATATGGGAAGTCTCTGGAAGGAGAACTAATTCATCAAAACACCAACAAGAACTACAGGCTGTCGGATGGGCTCAGTCTTCCTTCTGTTGCATTATTTTTTTCCCCTTTTGCACTACCTGAGATAATATGATCCATTGAGCTTAGGTAACAAGTAACATAAATACCATTACCCCATCCTGCAATTACATGACCCTTAAGTTAATTGTTTTGGAATGTATACTTTCTGGACAAACAATCTGAAAGATTTTATTGCAGCCCTTAAAGAGAATTTTTGGCTTTAGAAACACAATTGAATGCAAAAAAAATTCAAATCTATAAGATCATTGCTTTAACCTGACTTATGATTTCACTCATGACTTTGTACATAGGAAACGTGCAAGAAAAAGAAACTGCCTAGACTAGTCAGATTGTGTGGCCGCACTTAAAGTTCGAAGAGGTTTAACTTACCATTGCTGCTATATAAATGAGAGAGGTTTTGTTTTTAAGTTAAGAAATTGGAATTAAATGTTTAAGCCCATGAATTTTACTTCCACAGGTTACCCTCACCATTGTATCTGTTTAAAAACTTAGTAGCCAAGCACCTTGGAAGTTACAACAGCACACTGGGGTTGAATATGGCATGATACATAATAGCCACCTAGAGTGGGAACAATCAAGAAAAAAAAAAGATCCTACTACACCAAAGCAATACCAAAATCAGCAAGAATTCAATGCACAGCTCCAGTGATTTCAGTAAGACTTGGGTATGTTGGGATTGCATCATGTGACAGCAATATTCTTTAGCGGAACTATTTTATGACTATTTTAACTTATCCATATAGAAGGTGCTCATAATAAATGCATGTAGCTGCCTGCATAGATGGGTGGAAACCAACTTCCACAAATGGATTAGTTCTAGTGCTGGACCAAAATGCCTCTGGGATACCAGGTATCCAGCATCTAAAGCTGTGCAAGCACTTCTTGTGTTACTCATACAAAAACTAATGCCTACAAACAGGATGTTGTGAAGTCCAGGGGTGACAGGCGTGAGAGTCTGGGTTGGATTACATTAGACTGTAGATGGTGGCTCAGAAACAACAGACCCTGCTGGGCCTCTTGATATGAATCTTGGGTGGGAACACTGGTTGAAATTCAGAGATGTGGAAGGTGTTTTTTTTTTTTAAAAAAAAAATAATAATAGAATATTCAGTCTTGTGAACTCCCAGCTGCCCTCTGGAGGAGTACAGCCCAGACACAGTTTAACAGCTCAGTGTCAATTCTTGAAAGGGAAAACTAGTGTAAAATAAGTGGTTTTTTCCTGCTGCTTTAACAGATTGACCAGCACTTAAAATATTGGCCCATTGAGTATAGTAAGTGAGGCCATTCATTAATTTAATTCTGTACTATATAATCTGTGGGGCTTTCCATGCCATGACCCTTTTGTTCTGTTTCCTGTAAATGCTCTACAAGGTAATTTTACAGCTGTCACTTTATTACATCACCACTCATTGCTTTTATTGACTAGATAATGTTTGAATGTAACAGCCTGTTTAGTTACAGTATCTCTAGAAACAGAGGAAGTGGGGAAGACATTACAATTTCTTTATATGCAAACAAAAAAAAAAACCTAGAGACAGTGATTGCTTTTCAGTTGCTATAGGAAGTAGAATACTCATGCCAGATCCACTGAAGTACAGCTGTTTTGCTAAAGCTACTTATGCCGAAATGAGCCTGCCACAGACAGCTGAACTACTATGAAGAAAGTAATTTCTGGATTGTGACTTGTTTTGCACTGTATAATTCTTTTGTCCAGCATTACAAGAAGCTCATGGGAAAGGTTTTCTCCTCTGATGTAAGATCTCAAAGCAGGGGTGCTAATCTTCCTTTCTGTTATATGCTGTACAAATAATGTAATTACCAGGGACAAAATTTTCTGCCTTGTTTAATAGAACATGATTTAATCTTTAGTTCCAAATATTCAGTCCATCTTAATCTGTTGTAAATAACATTGTTTCAAATATTCATTGATCTTAATCTATTGTAAATAACATTTTAACAAATAAAGAATTACAAGTGTATATACCTGAGGCTATTTTGTAACTGTTAGATAAGGCGTGTGATATCAGGAAGATATGAGGGGGTCTCACAAAAGTAACTAGTCATGCCTATGCCAGTAAGAATAATTAGGACAAGAATATTCTGAGGGCATCTCTTCTCAAGAAAGAAGGTATTTACTTCTAAAAAGTTAGAACCCTGCTGCTTTCCCTCTGTTGTCCATCTCAAGCAGAGCAAACCATGAAATGGGATAAGAGATGGAGCTGTGGGGGAGGAACAGGGTTCCAAGACTTCACCAAAGGCTACAGCAGCACGCTGACCAGCAGGTGTTCCATTCATGGAATTCTGTCAAGTCAGCAAGGCTGAGCATTTGGAGCAAGAACGCAAGCAGCAAGAGCAAACTTGGTGGACTCTTCAGGGCTAGCTGGCCCAGTTACATGCCTCCCAAATTTTCACTGACCTGGTTATGGAATGTTTCAAAATAACCAGCCCTGCCCATGTGTCACTGTAAACTGCTATCATACAGAATTCTGTAATGGATTATTTTCGCTTGTTGGGATCAATGAATAATTTGTTCCACCTTTGTTAGTAGCAATATCGTATTTGGCGGAACTAGATTGGTCAGACATCCCCCCCTATAGTGCTTGTACAAATAACTATAGGAGTTTTACTTTGGTCATAACAATGCTCTGGTGGATTTTGAGGATATGGAGATGAGAGAGCACAGTATGCTTCCTGACAAGGGCATCCATGGCTCTTCAAACTATTCAAGACAGGATGTTGCTCAACCAGGACCAAAAGCCTCAAAGGTAGGAGGCTGAAAGGTTCCATGTTTACGTGCCATTAGAACCATTCATAAACAAAAAGCTATGAAAAACCTGCAGATGCATCACAAACCTGTCCTACTGTGTAACCTACCGTGGCCTCAAAAGTGTTGATGTTAAGCAGAGTCAGGTCCTAGATAACCTTGAAAGCACAGCTAGTCCACGCAGGTTAAAGCTGTACCACAGCCTTCTACCCATGTTATCTTAGTGATGATTACGGAACACCTTGTAACTAGAAACACAAAAGTGTATTAAAGGGTTAAAATAGAATAGCAAAGACTGAAATAAAACCGGTAGTCTATAATGTATACATAGGCTAATTAAACGGTGCCTGCAAGTTGTGTATATCTGCTAAATACAGAACTTTTTATTTTAAATGCCTAATGTACAATATGCTGGTTTTAATTCAATGTTTATTGGAACAAAAGCAGATGTTCTCTATTTCATTGAATTGTATAAATACATTATTTGGACTTTAATATACACATTTTGATTCCCATGTTTTAAGCAGGCTGTTTTAAACATCTAGCTCTTTTAAACTGACCCAAATGGAGCCTCCAGTTTTCTGTGTTTAAAATTATAAAATAATGTTTCATTTACAAGCCACAGTAGCCTCTAAGTCTTTTCAGTAGGACAATTAAAACCTACAGGAGGTTTTTTCCCCCCCTTTTGCCACAATTTCAAAGCAGGGTGGGGCGAAAAACAAACACTGACAATAAAATTCGAGACAATGAGAACACTGATAGTTTAGCAGCAGAATAGCAGCTTATAAAGGACCTAAAGTGCCCGAAACATTTCATATCCTAAAAGAAAGCACACAAGAGATGGCCAGGGTTCTCTGGGCCGCACTGAAAAAATTGGCCTTGTTACAGGGGGTCTGAAAAACAATCTCAAGCAAATCCCAACCCTATTTTTTAACCACAGGCACATGAAAGATAGAGACCCCATGCATTAAGCCCCTTCCCCAAAGCTTACGCTGCAATGACAGCCTTTCCCTCCCAACCACAGAAATACTCCCTAGCAGCAGGAAACCACATTTTTTGTTGTGCGTGAAAGTTAGTCATTCTACCATTCCATATATAATACTCGGCTTTACATAAGGTGCAGAAACTAATAAAAGGATCAGAAACTGTTTGAAGCTAAAAGCCTCAATACAGCTTGTAAGAAAAATAGTTAAAAATAGGTAATATTTTTAAAACTAAATGCTTACGAAACCAACAGTAAACTAGTGTTAAGAGGAGGCCCTATAAATGCACATCCCTATAGAGCATTCCATTTTCCTGATATTACAAGCTGAACCCAGATACTGTCAGCTGCTGAGCGTTATTCCTCGCTTCAAAGTAAGAAGTGTCTGTTTCATCATTTGGCTGTGGAATGAAAGGCATGGTCTGATTGTGCAGATTATCCCAGTCTACACCATGAAAGAAGGGGTGAAGTTTCAGCTCTAGAATAAAAAAAAAGTTTGAAACAATCGTTAAGGCTTCTTCCTGTGAATGCTTCATTCAGTTCTGATGTCTGTAATTTCACTGAACGTTTCCCTTTTGTAGTAAGACCTTGAATACAAAGGCAAACTTTCTCAAGCACCTATCTAAACAATGTTGCCAATCTTGTTCCTTAAACCTACAGGTTGAAAAATACTGTTAGGTCCCAAGTTCCATTTCCTTGTCAATTTTATCAACCTACACACATTATGATCTTGGACACAGGGAACAACCTATAATATGTGGACTTTAAGCGCGGGAGCAATGGCAAAACAATAGTAGAAGGGTGTTTAAGTCCACAATTAAAATCAGTAGCAAAAAGCTAGTACAACATCCTGAATACAACATCAGATTCCGGACTCCTGAAGCTTGTGTTCAAATCTTGGCTCAGCCATGAAATTAAACCACTTATTTAGCTTCAACGACCACCATACATGAGGGTGAACCACATACTTTGCCCTGAGGACCCTGGAGGAACAGATAATAAACAACAGCTCCCTGTCCTTCATCTTTTCCTATAAGCTGATTCATGGACATTTCATTAACAGCCTAAAACATCTTTAGTGGTTATTCTTCCCTCCAATAAAATATTTAAGCTACAGCTTTCTTTTTCTTTTCTTTTTCTGGTATTTTTTCATTTTTGTATTTGTACGTGCCTGTGCCTGGAAGTCATGGCGACCTCTGGCGACTTCTACTGGGGCGCGGAGGAAGTTCAGAGAAGTGGCCTGCCTCTGCCTCCCGGCCCTAGTATTCTTTGGAGGTCTCCCATCCAAATACTTGTCAGGGTCAGCCCTGCTTCTGAGATCTGATGAGATTGGGCTTGCCCGGGCTATCCAGGTTGGGGCTTAAGCTGTAGCTCTCTGAAGTGCTACCAGAAAGGGATAAATGCAATAGATACGAACCCTTGAGTCCAGCTCGCTTCATACTGTCAATGGTTAAAAGAATATCAATTGCATTCTGAGCATTGTCAGATAATTTCTCTTCACCTTCAGGCCATGGAATATCTAGAAACAACAGGAGATAAATACCTTGGTATCATGATGTTAGACAAATAGCCTCAAAACTTGGTTTCAAAGACAAAGGTAATTACCCCTTTTCAGAATATTCTGGAATACTTGTGGTGGTGTCTCATCATTGAATGGAGGAATTCCAGTTAAAAACTCAAACAGGCAAACTCCAAGTGCCCACCAATCTACTGCAGGACCTAAAGCGGAAGAAAGCAGACAGAAATCATTCCCGGTCCTAAGAAATATTATTAATCTGTGAGTCAAGAAATGAAAAAGTAAAAAAGATCTGTGATCAGTACATCATCATTTTTGGCTTATGAATTTAATCCCCTTTTTTCTGTTCTCCTTATGTTAATATGTACAGAGAACCTTCTGCAATCTCAAACACACACATGGCCTTGCAAAGACCAATGGGAGATAGATTTTGCTTCCCTAAACAAAATCTCTGCTGAATGACCAAGGGTTCAGAAAGGAACCTAATAGTTGGATTAGGGCCACATATTCAAATCACCAGACTCAAAGATCAGTAATGAAGATTTCACATTAGTTTCTTAATCATCCAGTAACAGGAGGCTGAGGGTTTGGTTTTTTTCCTAAAGCTTTAGTGTGCATTCCTTACTATGGAAATAGACTCCAAAGAAAAGCTAGCTCTGAGTCAAATCTCTGCAGTGCAAATATTAATTATGATAATGCAATGATAACTTTCCCTTATTAATTCCTTGACAACTTTTGAACCCGGAAATTCACTGTTGATCCAAAGCCGTGCATCCAGATCACATGCAAGGAAAGCTGTCTAGGCACCACAACCCATTAACAAGCAGCATGCATCCTTCAGCTGCTGCACTGCTAAAGCCACAACAAGCCCACCATGTCAGGAACAAAAGATGGATATCCTTGCTGTGAGAACTTGGTCGTGCTGGAAATACTGAGACATTTTCCTGACCTTTCCAGGACCAGCTCAGACAACGCTCATGCAAGCAATGCCAGAGAGTATGGTTTTGCATGCAGACGCGACAGAGGAACTGGGCAGTCATGCCAGCTGGATGTCCATAACTTGCATCATTCCAAAAATATATCCCAGCGAGCTTATACATTACATTTTGCACATGAGCAACCAAATGCGGGCTACCCGGTTGAGGAAGCAATGTAATGAGCTGGATCCAAGTAACTTTTCTGCTGGTGAAAAAAGGAAGAAGGGTTGCTTTTGACCCCCTCCCCCCCAACAGCTACACTGAGAATCATGGGACCTACATGTACGAAAGCCATGTGGGGAAGAAGCTGTAGCAGAAAGGGAAATTGGGCAAAATGGAAAAAGTGGGAAAGTGGCAAGATCCAGCTCAGTGTTTGAACCAGCCCACCGATTTCATTCAAATGATAGACAAGTTTTTCTGCCAAAATACCATTTCTCATAAGCTTGAAAAACCCACCCATTCAGCTCACCAGGCAATTAGCGAAGCAAGCAACATTTCAGAAATTCAGAAGAACTTGATGTCTTAAAAAATGTTAAGTGCCAAAGTTTTGAAAAATATAAGTAACAAAGTCTAATAAGATCACAAATTCTATTCGACATGCTGAGAAGCCATTTTGTCCTTATTTACCTATATACTAATGTTCTAGAACGTACAGTATATGGAAGACCTCAAGGTTCTGTATTGTGCTTTCTGGTGCCTGGTACCTAGATGAAGTTAATAAGTTCACATGAAGTAAAGTGTTGGATTTGGGTGTCATCAATATGTCTATGAAGGTCACAGTCTGCTTTTGGAAAAGTACATCCAATCCATAGTTAAGGAGTGCCTTCTTTTCTATGCATCTTATATGAAGACTCTTTTACCTTCCAAAGACCAGATCTTATTACTCTGATCCATGTTTTTGTACCTTCCAGTCTTCACTATTGTAATATGCTCTGCAGCTACTTTGAAAATAGCAGAGAAACTTTGATGCTCTGAAAACGAACTCATTTTGCTGGCTGAACAAGGCAAACAAGACCTAGATAACATTTCTAGCATAACGGCCTTGGCTCCTGATTTACTTCACTTCAAGAAGTGCTGGTATTTAAAATCCTTCACAGTTGTGGACCTAAGCATCTGAAGGATCATATCCCTCAAGCCAGTTAAGATCAAGCCAACAACAGCCTGACTCACAATACAACATGCCAGATGAAGAGCATTTTCTCTGTAGCTCCAGCTGTCTAGAGTTCCCCTTCCAGAAGAAGGAAGAGAGGAGGAGATTGGATTTATGCCCCACCCTTCACTCGAAGTCTCAGAGCAGCTTACAAACTCCTTTCCCTTCCCCTCCCCACAACAGACACCCTGTGAGGTAGGTGGGGCTGAGAGAGCTCTTTTGAGAATTGCCCTTGAGAGAACAGCTCTGACAGAACTATGGCTTGCCCAAGGTCATCCAGCAGCTGCAAGTGGAGGACTGGGGAATCAAACCCGGTTCTCCCAGATTAGAGTCCGCACACTTAAGCACTACACCAAACTGGCTCTCAGAAGGGGAACAAGAATGTTCTGTGATTTTCATATCTTTTAAGATTTGCTTTTTCTTAGTTTTATGCTCGTTGCTGATCACTGAATTGTTTTCCCCTTGGCTGAATCCATTAAAATTGAACTATGTTGTGGTGATTCTTAAAAAAATATTTATTGATTCGTACTACTTTATGTCGTACAGTGCTTTGGTTTTCAGAAATAGTATATAATGGTATTTAAATAAATGTGAGCTTTGATGTACAAAAAGAGAGGTCAAATCATGTCATAACATGAGAAAGGGAAGTCTTCATGTGAGCTTCAAAAAAGGAAACAGTCCAGTCCTGATTCTTTCAAAAGGAGAGTCTCCTTCACATCAACAATGTGCACAAAGTCTTGTTCGGTTCTACACTCCAGCACGTATCTTGAGCGCTGTGATCTAGTTATACTTTGACTCATATCTTAAGTGTTACAGCAAGCTTACCAGAAATCTGAATTCCTGTGTGTGGAAAAAGAATCAGGTAAATATTTTATATGCCTCCATTAACACTATCACATCACACACAACGTGCTATATTCGAGGCATCCGTTCTGCTAACAGCACTTTCAGCCAGTGCAAGAAACCTTCCACTGAGGCAAAGGGAAAGTGGCACCGTAAACAGAATGAATACTGAGGAGGACCCATTCCAGTTTTTAAATGCTGAAGTAATTAGCAGAGAGAAGAGAAGAGATTGGATTTATACCCTGCCCTTCACTACCCAAGGGAGTCTCAGAGTGGCTTAAAAACTTTTTTCCCTTCCCCTCTCCACAACAGACACCCTGTGAGGAAGGTGGGGCTGAGAGTCTCGGACAGAAACTGCTCTTTTTCAAGAACATCTGTGCCAGAACTATGGCTTTCTTAAGGTCATCCAGCCGGTGCAAGTGGAGGAGTGGAATCAAACCTGGTTCTCCCATATTAGAGTCCGCACTCTTAACCACTACACCAAACTGGCTCTCCCCAAACAGCAATCATGTTACAGATTTGCAAGCATGTGGCAGTTCTCTAAATACAAATAACTGAACTGGTTTTCACAGACTTTTCTACATACAATAGACATCATTATCATTAAAACTGTATATCTAAAAGAGAGAAAGACCTTGCAATCCAGAGACAAATAAAAGATGACAAATAACAATTGACCCAGAGTGGAGCAGTCACAGGTCAGACATACTATGGTTCAGCATGCCCCATCATCTTTTTATCCTTCATAATGGTGGCAGCAAATCTTGCCTCTTGGAGAGTAATTAATTTGTCTCTATCTGTCAGCAATATAACTAATTTCTCCTGATCTGACCTTCCTGGGAAACGGGATATTATGGTCTGCAAAAATCTATTGCATTCAACCTCATAACTTGTACACTGAAATGTGACATGGAATAGATCCTCAATAGACTTTTGACCTATACGGTATCCCATATCTTGCTATATTTCCCTATTTGTACAAATGTTGAACTCAACAACATTATGATCACTGTTCCCAAGCGGTGGAATCACTTTTACATCTCTCACCAGGTCTTGAGTGTTACTTAGGACCAAATCAAGGATCGCCTCTCCCCTGGTAGGTTCCATGACGATCTGCTCCATAGCACAGTCATTTAGAGTGTCTAGAAACTCAGTCTCTTTCTCTCGACTAGAACACATATTGACCCAATCATTGTGTGGGTAGTTAAAATCACCTATTACGACACAGTGTTTTTGTCTACCTGCTATCTTTAATTCATTCATTCATCTTCCATGGTATCCAACACAATTCCTTTCTGTTTGTACTCAAGATGCATTTTGTTGTGAGGGTTCCTTCCAAAACCTCAGGAGAGAATATTCAGGGTGGGTGATGGGCAGCAGAGGGACAGGGAAGGTGGGAACAGAGCTTCCAACCTGCTATGTTTTGCCAGTTTGGGAACAGGGTTAACACACAAGCTATGCATTTACAATAACATTCTGGTTATGGGTTTAAGCAGAGCCAGGACCTCATGACTAGGCTGAGAAAACATGTTCCTTAAAGACATCAAATTATCCTACAATTAATTGTGCTGCTTACCATGAGCCTTTGCGAAGAGCAACTCAGGTGCCAAGTAGTCTGGGGTCCCTAAAATGGATTCGCCCTCGACTGGGGCAGCCCCTCTTCGGACACTCTTTGGAGTTCTGTAGGGTGTATCAGCATTTCCCTGATTAGGGGTCTGATGTCAAAGAATAGAGGTTATGTCAGACAAAGGCATCATACAGGCTAATAAACTGGTTCAGGCTCAGACACCAAACTGCAGGGCTGAAAAAAGCATCTAACGAGCACACCCCCATCCCCCATCCAGTTCTCGTTCTCTAGCATCTTCACTCCTGGAAAGGATGTCTTTCTCCTATCTTATTAATAGTGCCCTCCCTGAATATTTTCTTCACTATGTCTAGTAGGCATTAAACCAAGGGTGTTGAACTCATTTGTTATGAGGGCCGGATCTGACATAAATGAGACCTTGTTGGGCCGGGCCATGTGTGTCATAAAATGTGATGCCAGGTAGCGGAGATATAAACTTTATAAAGGACACAAACACAAAGGGTGTTTTTTACTTAAAATAAAAATATGCTTAAAACATTAGCACTCTTGCAATATTTTGTTTATTTAACAGTGTCTGATAACTGACACCTCTTGCTCTGAATTATTGCATCAAAATGTCTGTGCCGTTGCAATCTTGAGTATGCTGTTCAGGTGTGTATCTGTAAGCTGCAAACCTACGATGATGCAGCAGCAGCAGCAGAACTGGAAGAAGAAGCAGAAGACAGCCAGTTCCACTGCAGGCCTGATAGAAGCCCTCCGGGGGCCTGATCCGGCCCTCGGGCTGCATGTTTTGACACCCCTGCATTAAACTATTGCAACTTCTAAGCAACTAAAGAAGAAGAGATTGGATTTATACCCCGCCCTTCACTACCCAAAGGTGTCTACACCAAACCTAACACTGCCTGATCCACCCTTGCTACTCTAACATGTTAGAGCCACATCATTCAACAGGAAAAAATCCTACAAATGTCTTACGCTGAAATGGTAAGCAGACCATAACTCATCATATGTAAAAAAGCAAACACACACACACACATGTGTGTGTGTCTGTGTGTGTATTCACATTTGTACATGCTTCAGCAACCTGCTGTCAGCTGAGGTTCCCTGCCACACATACACAGTGATACACATGTGGGATTCATGCAACTGAATTCTTGCCTGGGCTTCACAGGAATTTTTGTGAGCAGGGTGGTTCTTTAGTTATTGGGATGGATCCCACACAAAATCTCTGCTGACAGAAGTTATTCCATCATTGAAGTGGGACTTCCTTGCCTCCCCCTTCCTGCAGCTACCCCAAATGCCCCCCCCCCGTGCTGCTCCTGTAGGGTCAGGGAACCCTGAAAAACAGGGTGGGGGGAGTTGTTAGTTTGCCATGAAAGAGGGAATCAGTGACCGTTCACCCCCATCAGTGACCCGCCCCGCCCCACTGTAACATCCAATGCATTTACCTGATAAACTTTGTAGGGTTTCCCCTTTTGCGCAGGTGTAATAGCCATAGGATAAGAGCCACTACAAGCAGAGATGTCCATTCCTTCTACAGAAACTGTGCTAATTCTTGATGGCTCAGATATATTAGACGTATTGATTGAGCTGTTGTAACTACGAAAGGCAACCATGTTTTTCTTGAAGAGGTTCAGTGTTTTCACCATCTCCGCTGATGGAGACAAGTGGATGTTGGGATGTGTCTCAGTCACACTTTGCAAACTCTTGTCCTGTGCCTGCTGCAACTCCTTGCCCTCCCGGACAGTAACCACTTCCTCACCTCTCAATGAGGCATCTGCACAGCTAAGTGACATTACAGACACATCCTCTGTTTTCAGTTCTTCAAAGCTGAGGTCTTTAATGCCCCCAGCTGTATGAGATAGGTGCTTTTCTAAATGCAACACTGCAGCAGATGCTTCCGGAAGGGATAGATCAGAGTCCACACTCATGCTCGCTAAGGGCTTTTCGTCGTCAGTGCATAAGAAGCTGGAACTCAGGTGCTCCTTTTTCCCATCCTTTTCACAGTCTGCATCTAGATAATGCATAAGATTCTTAGCTATTAAAGAGATGGCTGGTTTCCCACCCTTGCTTTGATTGCCATTTGCACAGGTCTCCTGCAGACCTCCATCGCCAGAAAGTTTTAAGCAATTGATTTCAGTTGTTAAACTTGTGCATTGCTTCCTAGGAATATCCACAATCTTACAACCACGTCTGTATTCTGCATTGGTTTTCTTGACAAGGGCAAGTTCTTGAGATGGACTGGTGTCCACCAGCGTGAAGCGTCTTTTGACACTGAGCTTCTCCTCTAACCTTGCCTCCTCTTTCTTTTCTTTGGCAAGGCTGGCCAAGCTCGGTGACCTCTGGCCATCAGAAGGTTCTGCTGTCCCCTTAGCCAGAGCAGGTTTATCTGCACTAAGTTTCGCTTCCCATTCTTTGTATTCTGAAAGACATTTTCGTACCAGGTCTTTCACATCACAAGTCCTTACAGAGGTATCACGTACGTCTGATCGTTCTACTCTTCCTTCATGCCTGCTTCCAGAGTCATTGCTGCTAATAGGAGATATGACAGACTCCAGTGTTCTCCTCTTTAAGGCCTTCGTGTCATTGGTATACATTAAATCTGCATTATGAAGCTTTTCTGATGAAGCTAGCTGGCCAGTGGCAGAGCAGAATATGTCTTCTGCTTCCTAAAAACAATACCAAGTTTACAATTTTAGATACCATGATGTTGTTTCCAGAGAGCACGTTCTCAGTCATCCATAACATTATAATCACCCTACTGAAAACATAATAGCTGAAATAAAGTGTGTTTTCAAGCATTAGGAATAACAATGCACTGGGAAAAAAGTGAATTGTGATCAACAGAGACAAGAAGCTGCACTGCTTATTTCAACGACACTCCTCTCTGGCCCACCTGAGAACCTCTCGGCACAGTGTAATCAGGAGCAGCTTTTGAGTTCACATGCACTTTCCACACTAGGCCTACCTTAAGGTTTCATTTGAGAAAATACCACATTTATTAGAGCACAGGACTCCAAAGATCCTGCAATCAAGACCCTGCATGAGATTAAACTGAAGCAGAATTTAATCTGTACAGTTAGGGAGATCTCATATTCCAACAAGCACCATCTTCTAGTTCAGGAGCTACGTTCTGTGCATCTCAGACAGGGGGCAGGGGGGACGTCCAGGAGGAAAACGTGGCCCTGAGACTTACTTCACAAAAACTAGTTAAGTCCTTGAAGAGCTTTGTGCTCACTTTGAGAATTCCCTGTGACTCTACAGAAATACCCACTTTCCACCATGTTCTCAGCTCTCAAAATACAGGAAGTAAGATAAGCGTATCCCACCAAGCAAACTGTATCCAAGTCAATCACTTCTCTGGGGTGAGTGACAGAACTCGGAGAAATGCCACCCCGCCTCACCGTGTACATCTGTATCTCTGTGAAACTGTCAAGAGGAAGCAAAATTTAGCATAAAGAGATAGAGCAGTCCTGACCTGGATGTCTTTCTCCCACCTGGGGCTGCTACAGCACTCTGACTCCATGCTGGACAGCTGGGTGCAGGAAAGGCTACTGGCACTTGAGGTCCCGTACCTCTTCCGGGACTGAAGCAGACTTGGCGTCAGACTCTTAACAGGCATCACAACTGAAGAATCAAGGCCTTCAAGGGGGGGAAAGATACAGCAGCAAATCCAGTCAATTGCACTGAGAAACGTAGGAAAGATTCAGTGCAATATTTAACTGTTGACCTGTCCATCCTTGCTGTTAAGTGTTAATTGATAATACCTGCTACCAATGTTCCCTCTAAGCTGTGGAGTCTTGTGAGCAAAAATTCTACTTTGTGAGCCACTGGAATTAAAGTTGTGAGCGAGCGATTTGGCTGCTGCATAAATCAGTTTGCTTTGGAGCCATCCTTCCTGAGCTAAGACAAAAATGTGTGAGCCGGAGGCTAAAAACCTGTGAGCTAGCTCACACTAACTCAGCTTAGAGGGAACACTGCCTGCTACATGAAGAATAGATTATGCTAGTCTCCAAAGCCAAATTTAAATATGAATTCCTTTCATATATTATAATATCAAATTATTAATGGGGAAAGAGCTATTGGAAAAGAACTATGCAAAAAAAAGAGAAAGAAAACAGAAACACTTCAGCTCAAGCGAAGGTTCCTGCTCATGTATCTATGCAGAGAAATGAAACCACACTAACATCACTAACAAGGCACGGCTTTTCTGCTGGTGGGTCAGAGCTCACAAGCAGATAATGCCTGGAGCCAAGGACCACAGAAGTGACACCCGCACCACATTTTTTTAACCTGCTCGGTTGTTAAGAGGAACAGAAAAAGTAACCCACGTAGTAAAAATGGGTTATGCGTTGCTAGCTGGGTTTAAAGTCATGTCTCAAAGGCTTAAGCGACTGCTTCTGTGAACCAAAGTTACACGTACTTTGTACTTCTCTTTCAAACTATAGCTCTCATTATTGTTTGAAACAGGGTTAACTTTAAAACAGCTATTTAAAACAGTACTGAATTTGTAAGCCACTTGGAATGTAGTTTCAGGCAGGTAGCAGTGCTAGTCTGCAGCAGCAGGACTAAATTCGAGTCCACCAGCACCCTAGAGACCAACAAAATTTCCCAGGGTATAAGCTTTTAAGCTTGTGAGTCAACAGTCACTTCATCTAATACCAAAGTGGCCTTTGACTCATGGAAGTTTATACCCTGAAAAATATTGTTGGTCTCTAAGGTGCTGCTGGATCCAAATTTTGGAATGTAGTGAAGCTGGATAAAACATTTTAAATAAAGCACATCTTTAAAATCCTGCAATTTTGCTTCCATTCAGCACGCTAGGTTTGATACTTACATGTCCTAAGCAGCTTACTTGATGCAGGAGCACAGTCTTTGCGGCTCACAGAGAGGGGGGAAACAAATCCTTGAGAGAGCTTAGGCGTCTCCATAGAAATAGGGCTTGGACTGGGTGCATGCATTTTAGCTCCAACCGGGGTGAACTGCCAGAATGAGAGAAGCTTGCTCAACAAATAGCTATAATTCAACGAAGCAGAGCACATAACACAGTATTTTGTGACCGTAGATCTTGGACACACCTCATGCAACCATCTCAGCAGGGCTTTTTTTGGTAGAAAAAGCCCAGCAGGAAATCATTAGCATAATAGGCCACACCCCTGACAGCACAGTTCATTCACATATTAGGCCACACCCCCGTGTTACCAGAAGTGTGGTCACCCAGCCACACCCATCTTTTGCTTCTTATTCTCTTTACCTTGTTTGTTGACAGAACCCAGGGCTTTTTTTTGGAGCAGGAACTCCTTTGCAGGCCACACACACCCTAATTGTAGCCAATCCTAATGAGTTCCTGCTGTTGGGTGTGGCCTATTATGCTAATGAGTTCCTGCTGGGCGTGGCCAACTTGGGAGCCAGCCGGAACTCCGTTCCTGCCCCAAAATAGCCCTGCATCTCAGCAATTAAATGTGCTTGCAACATATGCTGCAGACAGGAATGACATGGCTGCAGACTTCATGCGCCATGCGAGTTTTAATCATATAATACTGAACTCAAGAAACAGATTGTGGTCCACTGAAATGTGGAGATTACCCCCAAAAGAGCAGGAAACTCTCCAAGGAGTACAGTACAATCATTTGAAGACTATATATTATTTTGATTACTTACAAAAGCCAAATTGCTGATAAGAGACAGCACTTGCCCCGGAGTACGTGAATAATCTTGCTTTGGTTTAGGCATCGATGGTGTCGTGAGGATATCCATCATATTTATCTCTGAAAAGGGATTAATAAGATTAGCTTCCATGTTACCATTTCATTTGTTTGTTTATTTGCAGACTGCTGTGAAAGAAAATACTTTGCTCTAATGACACGCGATGTACGTATACCAGTAGAGCTCGCTGCAAGCCAAACTATTATTTTATTTAAACTAAAGGGGTGAGAAGTGGGGGGAAAGTAGGCAGGAAACAAGCAATCCCTCCCTCACTCCAATGAGAGACCAGGCAAAGGGTAGTTTAGATCCAAGCAAATTGGGTGGGCACTGGGGAGGCAAGTATGTACTGTGTGAATAAGCTGTTTAGAGACAGTTGTTTCTTCTGGAACATCACAACACTACTGATGGCATATGCCACTTCCCACATTATGGGAATCTTCAACAGACACCCACCCCTGAGCCATACCAAAAATTAATCTTAAAAGGCTCCTTAGCTTCAAACCAAGTTTTCTATACAGCAAAGGGTTTGTATGTGTGTGAAGATGAAGCCCCATTTGGGCAGGCTCAACTAACTGCGCTGCTCTTTGGAGCTCAGCCTGCGTCTTTCCACACAAGTACAAACCCAGAAGATTAGGACTGCAACTGAGGACAGAAAAAGTGTGAAGTCTTAACAAGCTGCATACAAAGGGGCACAATTGATGTAAAATTTTGAGACGTTTTGAAGCCATGGGGTGGAACGTTTTTCTCTGGATTTTTGGGGAAGAATTTCGCTGGCTCCAAGTGGAGGTGTGGAGAACTGAACCCAGTTCTCCAGATTACAGTCCACCACTCCAGATCAGAGTCCACCACTACACCAAACTGGCTCTCAGAGAAAGTACAAACAACTGCACACTATGCTATCTTAGTACACTTCATTCATTCCAAAAGAAAACATTTTCAAAGGAGTTTTTTCAGTATATCCACAATTTCTTAATTTGAAGCTGAAATTAAAAAAAAACACCTGATTTTTCCATCCTAGACATTTTGAGTAAAACCTTGTCTTAAAAAGCATTTCACTCATTTCAAATAAGAGATATTTCATGCAATTTTTTTCAGGGTTCCAAAGTTTCCCAGTGGAAAAACATCAGAAAAAAGTGGAACATTCCCCACATTCCTCACACAGTTGTCTATTAGTTCCCAGGCCTTCACCTCTCTAGGCATCAGAAAGTTTACATTCAAGCTTAAAAAATATTTCTACTACTTATTAGGCTGCCAAGATTTTTACTTGCCCATGTTCCTACACATGCCTAAGTTAATCCTTGCTGGCACACAGAATACCTCGCTGACTTGAGTGGGCTTAGACTGGAGTTAGTGTGCACAGGGCTGCAGTGTACACCTGAGACGTTTCCTTGCCTGGTTACCTTAAGATGATTCTTATTGCCTGCCGGGAGACCAGCTATTCAATTTGTTAACTGTAAAATTTTCTAGAACTTCCTGAAAATTCATTTCAACACACCGCAAAGGAACTGTTGCTTAAGATATGTGTACAAAGACAGAACATTTGCTTTATCTAAACTGCCACATAACATTTTTTATAAACCACAATTGGGTCTCACCTCTGTTCAGAGCAACTCTGGACAATCCAAAGTCTGTCAACTTAATGTGACCCTCATTTGATATCAGCATGTTGTCTGGCTTCAGGTCTCTGCCGGTATAAGGAAAACAAAATACATCTGCTGTACAGATACTTTAATGTAATCAAGGCAGGGCAGCCAGTTCAACCTCACAAAGCATTGTGTTTCTCATACGTATGGCTCTCTCTGCCAGTTCAGTGGTTATATATACTGAATGATACGATAATCAGTTAAATGGATACATGGATTAACTACAAATGCCAAAGAAATAAATCCTTTGCCTTAAAGTAAGCGAGCCTATCTGCCCTGTAGTAATAAATGTTGCTATAATTCTTGTGATGTACGAAGAGAAGTAACAACAAATACATTGATTTTCTGAGCACATTCAAAAGTGAGCCTTTGACCCTTGCTGAACCTCTTCTGCCTCAGCATCAAAACCTAGAATAGATTTCTTATTTTATCAGGGATTTGAACCTGGGTCTCCAAGAGCCTAATATTGATGCTCTAATACTCCTGACTGTAATTAGAGAAAGAGTAAAGAGAAAGTATTCAGCAAAATGCTCCAAACTAAATCATAAAAGATTTGTTTCCTTTTGGTAGATTTTGCATGTCTATTTAAATACTTGTACAGAAAACAGAACACTGGGTTACCAGCTCGTGCAGTCAGATAAAAAAAAACACAGGAAGATTGAGTTCTTGATGAAAAGCATTAAATTACAAGTAAAAGCAGCCGGACCACATGCCAAAGACGGTCCTTGACATTAGTTTCCTCCCAACAAGATGTCTGCATTTCCCCTGGGGATCAGAGAAAATGATCTAGTGCTGAATAGCATAAACGTACCTGGCTGCAATAAAAACAGCATACCTGTGAATTATTCCATGCCTGTGGAGGTAATCAAGAGCCAGCGCAACTTCAGAAATGTACTTCACAGCCATTTCTTCATCAAAGTAACCATATATTTGAAGGAGTGATTTAACGTCTCCACCAATGAGATACTCCATTACCTACCAGTGAAAAACAACAATCATTATTTCAAATCAGCACCTTCATTTATGGTAACATCTACATCACATCATTCACAAAGTTTCAGTACATAAACTGTATATAATAGCTAGAGGACATATTTGACTCCTGAAATGCAGGCAGAAACAGAAATGGGACAAATAGTTTTAAAATTTAGGCTGAAATCAAAGCTACAAAACACAGAAGGTGAAAACAAAACTGTGTGGCTGGTATCCTTTCCTTGAGCTGGCAGATAGTTTTCTAAACTTGCAAAAAGCTTAAAGCTTGTGAAATGGATCAAGGGATAAGACAAGCTGGATAATAATTCTTTAAAGGCTTATATTGAACTGGAAGGAATTACAAGCAGTGTTCCCTCTAAGCTAAGGGGAGCGGTGGCACAGGGGATTTATCCTCTGGTTAATACATCTGAGCTGAACAGAGCTGCTGTCAGTTCTAGCCCCGTGCTGGTGTGAGCTACCAGCCTTGTCCCCAGCTCGCTGTCCACCCAGCGGTTTGAAAGCTTCGGCGAGTAGATAAAATGGGTACCACTCCTTAGAGAGGGTGGGCACACTAAAAACCCCGGTGGGGGAGGTGTTAGCCGACGAATGGAATGTCCAGCACGTAAGACCGAAAAGCCTAGCAAGAACTCTTCGGCATCAAGGAAGCCTGTAATGGGCCGTCCGGCCAGGCAGTGGCAGTGCTGCGCTGCAACTTGAAGCAGTCCAGAGAAAGCTGAGGACATCAAGCTACGCCGAGGGGAAAATGCAGTTGGAACATATCTGACCTTACAGCTGAACAAGACTCCCCGTCGGCTGCGAATGTGTGTGATTTAAAGATTATATGTTGCCCTCCCTTACCCCTTGAATCACTGTTAGTCTCGTGTGTAATGGAGTAACTGTAAATCGCTCAGAACCAGCAAGCTCTGCAGGATTGAGTGATTAATAAATTGAAAGATTTATTATTATTATTATTATTATTATTATTATTATTATTATTAAGCTGTGAGTGTGAGCTAGCTCACAGTTTTTTTAGCATCCAGCTCACACATATTTGTCTTAGCTCAGGAAGGGATGGCTCCAGAGTAAACTAATTTATGCAGTAGCCGAATCGCCCGCTCACAACTTTCAATGCCAGTAGCTCACAACGTAGAAGTTTTGCTCACAAGACTCCACAGCTTAGAGGGAACATTGATTACAAGGGGAAATAAGATTTTCTAATGAACTCCTGAAATATCTACTTTAAAAGCTACCTTAAGGCACTGAACACTTACCAAGTAGACATTGTTGGCAGACTGAAGTGAGTAGTATAAGTGCACAATGAAAGGACTTTTACTAAGAGCCAAGGCATCTCTCTCTGCCTGTACCTGATGGACCATATTCTTATTTATTAGAACAGCTTTTTTGACTACCTGTAAAGCAATGCAGAGGCTGATAAACATACACAGAACATACATTTCTCTACCTGTACTTATTTCAATATAGGTACGAAATTTCTACTGAGAAAAAAAGATAAACCAGCAATATATATAACTTTCCTGTGTCAGATATTGCATTTTATTCCACCCACCAGAGCTTAAAAAAAAACAACCCAACCAGCATCACCCTGGCTATACAGCCAATGAGGTTCCCATATCTGCCAATCAACTGGACACTCCTGAGACATTCACTTTCAGCCAGTTCACTAAAACACATTGTAACAGTTCAGCCAGAAACACCTCTACTTCAATTAATCTGTTTTCATATTTGGGTTTCTGTGTTAAGAATCCACCAATCCAAAACACTGGTATTTTCAAGTGCTTAGTTCATAGCTTATTTCTGTTTCCATTTTCCAGAGATCTCTTAGAAAACTAGTATGGAATCTCCATTTGAATTATCAGTGCCACCATCAAAGTACTGCATAATCATTATGTATGGCACCTACAACACAGCAGGCACTGCTGTAAGGAACTTATCTAAAATATGATACAATAGAACAACAGGGGAAGGAAGGAAGGAAGGAAGGAAGGAAGGAAGGAAGGAAAACAGTGAAGCCACATGTGTTCACTTCAGCTACCCATAAATTACTTTGCTTCAGTAGGGGATAGAGATTAAGGAGCTGTACCAACGGCTTCATGGGAAAGATAGGTATGAACAGGAATTTGTAGAAAATGAGAGAGAGGGCACCATAAAAGTATTCCAAGAGGCAGTTCCAGGCACAGGAAGGGCAGAGCTATTTGGGAAGCAGGAAACTTTTGGTAGCTAAAGGCAATGAAAATTCATGGGCAAAGGTAAGAGGTGTGAAGAAAAGCAAGGCCATGGTGAGCTCTGTACTAGATCTGAGAACAGACAGGAAGCCATCGCAGCGATTTATGGGGGAAAGTTTTGTAACGTTATAATATGTCAGATTATACGGTTGCTTAAATCTGCATTCTGAGGGCTGAAGAGCAGCAATGAGGTACAAGAGGCCACATGATTCATAACAGCAGGAAGGAACTGTTTAATTTTCCCTCACCTGCTGCTTTCCCCCTAAAACTACCCCCAGCTGTGATTAGGAACACTGGGGGGGGGCAAGGGGGAAGACTGCAGGAGACAGGTTGGATGGTACAGGAGTTAAATATACCCTCCTGCCTGCCATGCCTCTGCTCTAAATCATGCCACTTCCCCAAAATACTTTGCAGCCATGCACAGTGATGTGGACCATTAGCCAAGTCTCTAACTTATCTCTGATAACTGTGAGCAATTCACAAAACTGTGCTCCATCATCAGTATTAGCATCATAGGCTTCCCACTGGCATTGTGTTGGTTTAGATCTGTTCAGTGGAAGTCCTTGGTTTAAATGTCACTGCTCTCATAAGTTTACAAGATGGCCTTAGTCAAGCTACTATTCTCACAGGTGGGCAGCTGTGTTGGTCTGAAGCGGTAGAACAAAGTTTGAGTCCAGTGGAACTTTTAAGATGAACAAAGTTTTTTTCAAGGTATGCGCTTTCCTGTGCATGCCCACTTTTCTCAGGAAGTGGGCATGCACACAAAAGCACATACCTTGCATAACACTTTGCTGGTCTTAAAGGTGCCACTGGGCTCAAACTTTGTTCTACTATTTTCTCAGCCATCTACCTGTTTTTATGCTATAAGGATACAACCTAGTTCTAATTCTCTGCTCTGGGAAAGAGAGGTGATTGGGGTATCCCAGTGAGAGAGATAACCTGTCTGTTTCATCATGCCCATTGTCAGTTGCATCATGCCTATTTATGTCCTCAGCAAAGTAATAGCCCAACGATTGTGACCGTGTTTAACAAACGTCTGCTGAAATCAAATACACCCCCAAGATCAAGTCTATAACGAGAACATTTTAAATCATTACCTTTGTAGGATACGTTAAAGAAACCCATAATCTAAATTTGAAATAAAACGTGCATTGATATTTAAAGCACCACAGTAAACTTAGGACTTAAATTTATTTCTTAAATATGTTCTCAGCTAAAATGTATACTTGTGCATTGGTCGGCAGTGGTCGCGGGGCGGGGGGCTCACCTTGACGGCGTACAGCTTCCCTCCTTTGCGGCCCAGGTAGACCTTCCCGAAGGCGCCGCGGCTGATGGGCTTGACAATGGTGAAGTCCTCGATGGAGGGCGGCCGAGGCACCGCGACGCGCCTCTCTCCCCCCTCGGCGGCCGTAGCGGCAGCAGCCGCCTGCACGCCTGGCCCGTGACCCTGGGGCGCCGGCTCCATGGCCCGCGCGGCCGAGACGGACCCACCGGCAGCCCCAGCCTTCCTTTCGCCCCGCGACAATTCAAAGCTAAGCCCCGCCCTGGCAACGTCACACGCCAAACAGCAAGGAACGCATGACGTACCTCGCGGGGACGGGGAAAGATCCGAATGCTCCACCGTCGCCGTCTTTTTCGGCCACTTCCGGTGTGGGCTTCCCTCTCTGAAGTCGAAGGCGGGAGGTTTCACGACGGAGTAGCCGAAGGGTAGAGCGGCAGTATTGTGCCTTTATACGGAATCTTGTTGAAAATACGATTTTCCGCATTTGAGGCGGAAGCTCAGGGTGTGTGCTACTCTAATCTCTCTTGGTCTTTCTAGCAGATGCGTTGTCCGGCGGGCCTCGGGTCAGATCTGTTGAGAGCGGGGTTCCTTTTCTCCCGTCCCCTTGAACCAAGTTCATGTCCAACGAGGCCAGAAAGAAAGCATTATTAAACGGTGCCAAAACTTACTGAAAGTCCTGTGGCCCTTGCAAGACTAGCAAATTTATTATGGCATAAGCTCAAGTGGTTAAGACGCTGAACTGCAGGCTGTGGAAGGTCAGTAGTTCAGCAGTTTGAGACCCGAGTGAGCTCCCGTCTCTTGTTCCAGCTCCTGCCAACCTAGCAGTTCGAAAGCAAGAAATTGCAAGTAGATAAATAGGTAAACACTTCCATGCGCCTTAGTGTTTAGGCATGCCAGCCATATGACCACGGAAACGTCTTCGGACAGCGCTGGCTCTTCGGCTTTGAAACGGAGATGAGCACTGCAAGTCTAGAGTCGCACTCGACTGGCTTTCGAGCAAGGGAACCTTTACCTCTACTTTAAGCTTTCATGAACCGGGCTCAGGCTGAGCTGGCTGTGGTTTCAGTCTCATCCAACTATTTCAGATTTGACATCATATGTACAGTAAGTCCATGAAGTCATGCAGCTACTTTATACTGAGTCAGCCCATAGCTATCACAAGTGGTACTGTCTTCTCTGACTGGCAGTGGTTCCCCAGTGTCCTAAGTAAAAATCTTCACACGATCTGCTACTGACCCATTATGTCAACATATTTTGGATAATGGACAATTCTTTCTGTGCCTCCCTTCTACCTGGAATTCAATAATCATGTATCCTTTCGCACCAAGGAACCATCCCTGGGCAGGGTGGGAGGGGGGCTCTTGGTAGTTGGTGATTCGATCCTTAGGCAGGTAGACAGCTGTGTGGGGAACCCGCGTACTGACCGTATGGTGACTTGCCTGCTTGGTGCGAAGGTAGCGGACATTACGTGTGTTTTAGATAGGCTGGTAGATAGTGCCGAGGAGGAGCCAGTGGTCGTGCATGTCGGCACCAACAATGTGGGGAAATGCAGTCATGAGGTCCTGGAGGAGAAATTTAGGCTGCTGGGCAGGAAACTATTTTATTTTATTATATTTATACCCTGCCCTCCCCGCGAACGAACTTAGGTCCAGGACCTCCAAGGTAGCTTTCTCAGAAGTGCTACCTGTTCCACACGCAGGGCTGGAGAGACAGGCACAGATCAGGAGTCTGAATGCGTGGATGAGACTATGGTGTAGGGGGGAAGGTTTCAAATTTATTAGGCACTGGGATGCTTTTTGGAACAAGGGAGCTGTACAGGCGAGACGGTCTCCACTTGTCCTGAGAAGGAACCAGGCTGCTGGTGCTTAAAATCAAAAAGGTGGCAGAGCAGTTTTTAAACTAAATGTTGGGGGAAAGCCGACAGGAGATGAAAAGTCTCTGGTTCGGGTTGGCTCATCTCAGAGAGATGAGGGGGTAGCTGTTGCTTTTCTACAGGGAGGTAGATTGGAATTGTCCACTGAGACCATGGCTAGTGACATGGACTGCCTGACAAGATCTCGAGATAGCAAGAGGAAGGTTGCAGGCTTAACTTGTATGCAAAATTATAGCTGTTTCTATACAAATGATAGATCATAATGTTGTTGAGTTCAACATTTGTATAAATAGGGAATTGGCCAAAAAGACTGACACAACCACTTTTAACTTTAAAAGGGGTAACTTCTCTGATATGAGGGGACATGTGGGGAGGAAACTGAAAGGAAAAGTAGAAAGGGTCAAAACCATCGGGGAAGCGTGGAAAATATTTAAAACTACGATCCTAGAAGCTAAAAAATATATATTCCGCAGGTTAGGAAAGGCACGAATAGGTATAGGAAAAAGCCTGCATGGTTAACAAACAAAGTAAAGTCTGTGGTCAGGCAGGCAAAAAGGGAATATGAGGAGCATATAGCAAAAAACGTAAAGACCAACAATTAAACTTTCTTCAAATACAGGAAGCAGGAAACCAGCCAGGGAGGCAGTGGGGCCCTTGGATGACCAAGGGGTAAAAGGAGTACTGAAGGATGAAATGGAAATGGCTGAGAAGCTAAATGCATT